GGAGCATTATGGTTTCTGCTCAGAGAGGTCAGTAACCAGCCATGGGACTCACACTAGGGGCAAAGCCAGGATCTGAACCAGCTCTGTGCCCACCCTTCCCACTGCCAGTTCGAAAGCCTTTGCTGGCCCAGTGCCCACGATGAGCCCCCTCCATGACCCTTGAATCCCAGCCAGGAGTCCGTGGCACACCTCACAGCAGCATGTGACAAACAAACCGTCCCTGCTGCAGCCGAGTGCGGGGCTGTGGCAGTCCCTAGCAGCGTTCCAGAACAGACCAGACCGATAAATGCCAGCTTCCCATCTGCCCTCTAAGGCGCGGTGAGCTCTCAGTCCCCATGGCAGCGTCTGTTCCCCACCGGGAGGACTCACTTCTCCATTTCCTTCCGAGAACCACCCAGCTGACATGGCAGGAGTTTGTCACAGGGCTCGGGACAAGGCTGAACCAGCCTGTTCCATTCGGCCAAAGGCAGGAACCTCGAGAGTCTGAGCTCCAGGCTGATCATCGTGAGGGGGAACGGCTGGAACACAGGGCTGCCCCGGTGTCGCCGAGCCACCGCCACACCACCCTCTGCACAGACTCACTCCACCCGGGAGCTGCCCGGTACAGAAGCTGCTGCCTTTACTTCTGAGTCTACACCCTAAAACCTGGGGGTGGATGGCACCATAACCCCTCATGAGCAGAGACCCCCCCAGGCCTCAGGTTTCAGGGTCCTGTACCCCTCCCCCACCCTCTGCCCCATTAGAAAGGCAATTTGACATGGTGCTTAGAGCAAGCCCTGGAGTCAAAGGCCTTGGTCCTACCACTTCCTGGTGCAGCAGGGAGCTGAGTGGGAGCTCAGCTGTGCCCCAGAGTTGGCACGAGGAACCACAGCTGGCAACAACAGGTGCACAACGTTCTGTATTCCAAAAAAGCCCCAAGGAGCTGGGGCCAAACAGGCAGATACGGACACGGAGGACGCGCAGGGTTAGCAGAACCAGTCCCACAGCTGCCTCCCCACCTTCCCAGGCGGTACGAGGAGGAGGAGAGTGGAGACAGACAGCAAGAGTCAGCAGCCAGCTGGCAGGACAGCACCTCCGCCCAGGTCAGCGAGGACAAAGGCGCGTGGGAACCACTCACGGGGGTTAGGAAGACAGGGAGCCCGGGCAGATGCTTGCCGAGCTGGGGACGTGCAGGCCCAGCGGGTGCAGGCACCGGAGCAAAGCAGGTTTGGAGACAGAGTCCTGGTGGATGCCAACCTGCGCCCTGGGGGCCTGAGAGCACCAGGCACCTGGAGGGTGGTGTCTGCTTCCTCCTGGGGCTTCTGCAGGGGCAGGGCCCCTCAGCAGGCAGGGAGGGAAAGGCACCAGGGTGGTGGGCCCAGAAGACACTGGGTGGGCACCCAGCCCATCACTGGTGTGGCCCAGTGGGAGTGGGGGGCCTCGATGGCGCTGGGCTTCAAGACAAAAGGAACAGAGTCAGAAAAGGGCTTATAGCCGTGTGGCTGCCCCACCAGACAAAGGGGCTGAGTCAGAAGGGAGACAGCAGAGGGGGCCAGGAGAAAGGTGGAGCCCACCATGTAAACACAGCCACATGGGCCGGGCGCGGTGGCTCACGCCTGTAATCCTAGCACTCTGGGAGGCTGAGGCAGGTGGATCACTCAAGCTCAGGAGTACGAAACCAGCCTGAGCAAGAGCAAGACCCCGTCTCTACTAAAAATAGAAAGAAATTAATTGGTCAACTAAAAATATATACAAAAAATTAGCCAGACATGGTGGCACATGACTGTAGTCCCAGCTACTTGGGAGGCTGAGGCAGGAGAATTGCTCGAGCCCAGGAGTTTGAGGTTGCTGTGAGCTAGGCTGATGCCACGACACTCTAGCCAGGGCAACAAAGTGAGACTCTGTCTCAAAAGAATAAAAAATTAAAAAATAAACACAGCCACATGGCAGAGTCACCCAGAGGCAGTCTGGGAGAAACCAGAGGCTGACAGGTTAGGAGCTGTGAGACAACGCGTCGCTGCCCTGGCCAGCCAGGAAGACGGAGGGGCAGAGGCCAAGAGCACAGGGCAGGACACATCCCTTACACCAAGCCCTGGGACTCAAGCCTGGCTTGCCCAGGACAGAGCCAGGAGAGGAGCTTTAAATTGGAAAGACTTAATAACTGAGTGTGACTAGAAAGCTCTAAGATCCGTATGAGAGGTCGCTGGGAGTAGGAGGAGAGACTTAGCCCAGCAGAATTTAAAAAGCAGTAATTTGGCAAGAAAGTCAATCAAACTGAGGCTGCGTGATGCTCAGGTCACCCTAAGACGTGTGTCTGCGGGAGGGTGGGGCCGCTTGCTGCCATGCAGCACGTGTGCTGGGGGGAGGCGTCAGCTGGGGCAATGGGGCCGAGGGGGACAGGACCGACCCACGGCCACCTGACACAGTGAGGGGCCACAGGGCATTGTGGACAAGTGTCCTTATCTCTCGGAGCCTCAGTAGGGCGAGTGACACCACCCTCCTTATTGGTCATCAGGGAGGCTGAGGTGAGCACGTAAGTCCCAGGCACCGGGCCCAGCATCAAGGACTCGACAACAATAGGAAAAAAGCTTCCTCCACCTCCTGGACCACCCCCCTTCCAGTTCATTCCCAATTTCAAACCTCTGCCCTGCTGCTGTCTTCCCACCATCCTCTCCTCCTTCCCACCTAGCCTCGGGACCCACTTCCTCTCTGAGGACGCAGGTCCCACTAGAGTCCCCTAATGCTTCGGTCCCTTGAACTGTGTGACTTAATTATGTCGCGTACTTTGCATCTCCCCAACTCAATTTTAGGCTCCTGGAGCACAGGGTGTTACATTTAGAGAGATATTTGCATTGTAAGAGATTTCCGATACTGTAATCATTAACGACAAGCCTCACACTGACAAGGCACAGATGTGGGTGTGACTCCTGGCGCCACCGTACACTGACAGTGTGACCTTAAGCACATCCTTTATAACCTGAGCCTCAGTTTCCTTCTCTGCAAAATGGGAACAGCAGCAAGACTTTTTTTGGAGGGTTGTTGTAAAAAATAAATAATACAAATTGCTTAGAACCATGCCTAGCAGATAAGTACATACTTCTTGTTAGCTGCTACCCATCCACCAAATTGGATTTATTTGGTCTGAGACGGGGCCCAGGCAGCAGCAATTCCTAAAGCTCCCCATTTTAGGTGACTGTAACGGTTGAGAATCTGTGTAAGGGAATGAGCTAGAGGAGAGAGGAGATTGAGGCAGCAGCTGGGCTGGATTCAAAGGGCAGACCCCTTTCTAACTCCCCCGAAGCATCACAGTTTTTGTCAGGAAGCCAGGAATAACTCTGCCCTGCCAGGGTCTGAGATGCCGGCACTTTGCGAGCCACCTTCTCCTGCCAGCCACTGTGTGCCCTCAAGCGAAACGCCCTGTGCGGTCGTGGTGCCCACTGACCTGGGAGCTGTAAAGGAGACAGGGCCGTGACTTTGGGCCTCCCGGCCAGAGTGGCTCTGTCCGCCTGGTCACTTTTTCCCTTGCTCAGCATTTACTCACCAACCAGCAGATGGTGCAGAAAATGTGCAGCCCTGCTCCTAATCCGGCTCTAAGTTCAGAATGTGCATGTGATTTCCAGACTGGCACGGCAGTTCCCTACGTTTTCCTTTTTGTTTTTCTCTCAAAAAGGGACAAGAATGAAGATCTCAATGTGCCACAGTTCTTGAGGTAACGTCAACTTACCTGACTTTGGCATCTTGCTGGATGGAACCACCCCATTTCGATTCGGTGACAAAGCCCCAGTGTCTGTCTGCAATGCAGCTGACTGCCTGAACTGGTTTGCAGGTTTAAAAGCAGTATTTGGACAGACAATACACATTACTCTCAGACTGGAAAATATGCTGATACACTGGACTTAATGAGAAGGCTCCGACTGTAAGACCCAGTTTTAAAAGATTATAATATCAACTAAGTATTACACATGCTATGTTTTAGCCAAAAGTGCTCCAAATTTTCGATCAGGTCACCCCCACTATACCGGGGCAATTCTTTTTCTACCTTTTCTTTCCTTTCTTTTTAATCAATGACAGTTTCTTTTGAGAACTAGAGACGCTGTTATAAGAAATAAGATGCCTGCTTGCATGGGACTCATGCAACAGCTCTTAAATTACCTCACTAGGTGACACAGTTGGCAGCTTCCCCTCGGGCAGAGTTCTAGTGAAAATGGACATTTTAGTGCGTGGAAAGCTAATGGGAATCGGAGACGACGACGATGGCGGGAACACTGTGTTATTAAACCCCTGCGCTGTGCTTTTCAGAGTATTTGCAAAGCACTTTACCATTACGGTACTGTCATTAAGCCAACCACCACCGACCGGTAAAGCAGCGGCCAAGTCGCTTCACAGGCTCTCCCATGCTCTCATTAATAACATGCCTTGTAAAATGATTTTTGTGTGTCTGTTAAAAAAAAAAAAAAAAGTCCCGGGAAACTTTTATGGCTTTTTCCTAGGGCCTGCGAGATGAGCTCAGACAGTACTTGCCGCAGCTCGGGGCTGGGTGTCACCCCAGACTGCTGTTTAGCAATCCCGAGGAATGAGTTAGTAAGTCGCAGTTCGGCCGAGCTCCTAAGCCGGAGGTTCCAAACATCTCAGCCAAATCAGGACGGTCCCACCCTGCCATCGCTCCAAAAGAAAAAACGGGGGGGGGGGGCGGAGGGAGGGGAGGTAGGGCACTGCCTGGCCCAAAGCTGGAGGCCAACATGCGGATGACCCTCCCAGGCCAGGTGTCCGGGGATGGAGGGGAAATGCTAGCGGCGTTCGGGCCTCCCAGGCGGGCATAGCTTCCAGCAGCCCCAACTCCGGGTGCGCGGACGCCGCGTGCAGAAAGGCGCCCCTGGACGGCCCAAGGGACCGGCGGCCTCCCTTCTCGCCCCGTCTGGGGAAGCGAGGGGGTTACCTAAGAGAAAAGCCCGCAGGTAGGACTCGGCTCAGACGCCCGCAGACCAGCGCCTCGTCCTCTCCACTCCCGAGCCGCGACTCACCTGCGTGAAGTACAGGTTCATGAGCGTGAGCGTGAAGAACTGCAGGCACACCGGGAAGCAGTAGAGCAGCCAGAAGACGAAGGGGCTGAGCGAGTTGGCCGCCACGAAGTCTTTGAAGTAGAAGGAAAAGAGGACGGTGCGCAGGGAGGCCCAGAAGAGGCAGAGGAAGAGGAAGACGCTCTGGTAGCTGAGGCGCTTGTGGCGGTAGCGCAGCACCAGCCAGAGCTGCACGTAGATGAACACGAAGAGCAGCGCGTAGAACACGGTGTAGACGACCGTGAGGCCGAGCTTCACGTAGGGGGGCACGGCCGGGGTCAGCGTGGGCTGCAGGGAGTCATTGCGGGCCGGGGCCCACGGCGGGGCCTCCATCGGGCCGGGGGCGCTGCCGCGCGGCCGGGCGCGCTCCGGCCTCATCGGGGCTCGCGGCCGCCGCCGCCCCCGCGGGGGTCTCCGCACATCGCGCTCCGCCCGCAGCCGGGAGACTGGAGCGAAGAAAACAAGCCGCACTTCCTCCCCCGGCACCACAGTGATCACGGCGGCTTTGTCCTGCGATGGCACGCCGCGCCGCCCCGCGCGCCCCCGCCCGGCGGCCCACGCCACGTCGCGCGCCGCCTCGCCACGCGCGCCCCCTGCCGCCCCGCGCCGCCGCCTCGCAGCCGCCCGGCGCACGCCGACCGCCTCCCCCGCACCCCCAGGACGGCCGCCCCCGCCCGGCGCGTTCTCGTACCGAACCCGCTGCTGCTGCGCCTCCGGTACCAGCCCCAACCCCCACCCCGCAGCGACCCCCGCACTGCGCGCCAGGACCGCCCCGCCCACACCCCGGCAAGCGACCGCACTGCCCCAGGACCCGCCCGCCAACCCACCCCGGCACCGACTCCCGGCGCTGCGCCCCAGGACCGCCCGCCAACCCCCACCCGGCAGCACCCGCAGCTGGCCGCCAGACCGCGCCAACCCCACCCGGCAGACGCCCGCACTGCGCGCTCAGACCGCCCGCCCCAACCCCTACCCGGGCAGCGACCCCCACGCGCGCCCCAGACCGCCCGCCCAACCCCACACGGCACGACCGCACTGCGCCCCAGGACCGCCCGCCAACCCCACCCGCAGCGACCCCGCACTGCCGCCCCAGAACCGCCCGCCCAGGTCCGCACCGCCCGGGGCCGTTATCCCAGCCTCACTCATTCTGCTGGATGCATGTTTTGCAGGATTTAATCTCTTCTTACAAAAAAACAAAAAACAAACTTTTGCAAGTTCTTTTTTTTCCCTTTCAAAATAAAACCTGCCGGCCTCTGTCGGACTACGAACCTGGCCGGCGTCTGGAGGATGTTTGTTTTCTAAATCCAGAAACCAAAGACAGGGTCTGTGTTTTTTGAGGTAGTATGTCCACAGCGAACCAACCGTCACCCGCCGCCTGGTCCCGAGGTAGGCTAGCCGCCTGCTCCCGGGTCCCCCGCCGTGCGCCCGACGACGCGCGGCGGACGCGCGAGGCAGCCGGGTCCGCGGATGGAGCACACCGACCGCGAGGCTGCGGTGCAGCCTCCACGTCTGGTCACCTCCCGTAAAGGTGTCTCTCTCGCCAGGAGCCCTCTCTTAGCTGTTCGGAGTGGGTCGCAACCCGTTCCTGGCAGCGGAGTGAAAGTTGGGTGGTTCTTCCATGAGTGTGTGGAAAGTGTCCGCAGAGAGAGGAAGCCAGGTGACCGTCATGGAACAAATGCTAGCCAAGCAGTTTGGGTAACAGAAGAAACTGGGAATTCTCCAAGGCTCCAGTACTTCTTGTGATTTCTCAATTAATATATCCACTTGTGGGCCTAATTGTGTGTTCTTTTCCTAAAAGATCCTGGAAGAGCCTGAATCCACCTGCTTGTCCTCAGAATTAGTGTCCAACACTCTCCAATATATACCAAGGTGATTCTACAGGTCCAAGTGTGCCTTTGGCGCAACCTCCTTTTCTAGTGTTTCTAATCCTTTCCCTCTCTCCCTTTTTGCCTGTCAAGAGAAAATGCGCAACTGTCTCCCCACCTCGATCTCGTGCAGCATCAGTGTCTGCTTAGAGCAGCTGGGACGATCTTTCTAGGGAAGACATCTGACCGTGTGACTGCATGCCATAGCTATTCCCAACTTGCTCCTCAACGTGTTCTGAGGGTTAAGTCCAAAGTCCTACTGGGATTTACTTCCCTCACCTAGCTCTTAAGAGGTGTTAAGCAGGCCGGGCGGCGGTGGCTCACGCCTGTAATCCTAGCACTCTGGGAGGCCGAGGCGGGCGGATTGCTCAAGGTCAGGAGTTCAAAACCAGCCTGAGTGAGACCCCCTCTACTTAATAAAAATAGAAAAAATTAATTGGCCAACATATATAATATATATAAAAATTAGCCGAGGCATGGGTGCTCGTGCCTGTAGTCCCAGCAACTCGGAGGCTGGAGGCAGTAGGATTGCTTGAGGCCAGGAGTTTGAGGTTGCTGTGAGCTAGCGGACGCCATGGCACTCACTCTAGCCTAGGCAAGAAAGCGAGACTCTGTCTCAAAAAAAAAAATTAAAAAAAAAAAGAGGTGTTAAGCAGTGTTAACACCTCTTTACTCCCCTAAGCCAAGAAAACATCCCGCCCCTTCCTCCAACAACTGGCCAAATCCTCTTCCTCTGTAAGGGTGTTACTTCCTGCACAGACCCCTTCCAGACCACACCAGCCACTTTCAGACCACACCAGCCACCACGCTGAGGATCAAGCTAGGTGCTTCACCTGTGTGCCTAATTGTTAGTCATCCCCGCTTGTTAATACATTTCCTTAGGGTAGAAGCTATGCCTTGTTTGCTGGTGTCTTTTCTGACACATTGAAAAAAATCTATACACATTTATTACACTGAAGGAATGTAGTTTGTTATCAGAAGTCCAACAACAGAGGACTAAAAGGCACTTGTCTTCTCCTGTTTCTGGAACCTTCCCAGACATACCACATACTGTATCCACTTTTAGCTCGTTGGTAGAACTTAAATTACCTTAGCTAGTTACAAGAAAGACTGGGGAAAGTGGTTTTATTTCCACGTGGCATTGTGCACAGCTAAAAGTCATGGTTCTGTAATTAGAGCAGGTGATCTTTGCCGCACCTTCAAAGCAGCTGGAAAGAATGCCAAATGTCTGCAACAATTCGCCCCTGTGGCTACCCGGAGTCAAATGTGCTCCTAACCATCCTCACAATTCTGAAAACAAAAGCAATATATGATAAAGATGCTTCCAGGTAATATGATGCAATATCCCTCGTACAGAACACATTCCCTCCTTCCCCCAAAAGGCCGTCACTTTCTGTGTTGAGCTCCAAGCTCAGGAGCTCTGGGTGACAGTCATCCCTCTAATTCTGTCACAGTCCAATCTCCATGTTCTGTGTCTCATGGACTAAATGATTGAGTTATCCGTCACTGGTTTGTCCTATATAAAATAGTAGAGGAAAAGGAATGGAAAGAAAAGGGCAATTAGTTAACATGTTAACATGCACACATGTGATACGGCAAGGAAGAAAATATAAGTAGAAGTTAGAGTTCTTGTTTTTGCAGCTGGTCACACAGTTATAATTGGTGTTTATGACTCATTAATGCATGTCACAAAATCCCCCTTTGCCTTCATCAGGCATCTCCACTAGTCAAGGGTCACCCTCATTTCTGAAGGATCTGAGTTTGTTAATGTTTGACATTGGACAACCCAGCAGCTAGAGACACAACCACAACTGGTTTTTATCTGTTCGCCTTCTTCTGACCACCATATAACGGCAACCCTATTTCCCTTTGGTTGTCTCTGTCATCACAGCCAACACTATAATACTCCTTTTTGCAGTTCACCCACCAGCATGAGGAGTCTGAAATAGCCCAGGTCTCAATTTCCACTTCAATAAAATCTATGCTTGAATCCCTTGGCAGAAGAATTCCTCCCTGGTTACTAAGACCTTCAAACTAGCAGAGCCCAGAGGTCAGAGAACAGAAAGAAAAAAATTGCACGTAAATCATTAGCTGTATTAGTGAGAGGTGCCATTTTCTTGGTTCCTGTAGTCATGTATTCTGACTGTAGTCATGATTCTGTAGTCATGATTCTGCAGGACGGATAGCACCATATATCAGCTTTGGGTTCAGAAGAGATTCTATATACTGTAGGCTAGTGATACTACCTTTCCAGGCACTGTCTTCCTTCAAGCGCATGAGTCTACAATTGGTGCTTTCACCATTCTATAAGGCCAGCTGCTACTTAGGGACAGAAATTAGGCCACTTCATTTCTTCTTTTAGTGTAAAGTGAGGTCCTTAGTCAAAGGCAATATTGTGTGGGATGCCGGGATGATGAGCAAGGCATTCAGAACACCCAAGGATAGTGCAGCCAGTATGGCGGGCAAGGAAGGTCAATCCAAGTTCAGAAGCGTTGTCTGTTCCAATGAAGACAAATTGCTTATATCCTCCGTGATTAGAGAGGTCCATGTACTCTACTTTCAGGTGGCTCTCTAGGACCTCCCATGAGTTTGGTACTTTTTGGGAGACTCAGAGTTGGCTGGTGATGCCGGTAAAAAAACCAGACAGCCTTGGGGAGGATAAGTCCAGATTGTTAAAAACATGGGTCAGTTTAGTTCCTGCCAGTATGGTGTCTGTGTCCACGAGCCCATTGAACAAGCATTGGGCCAGCTGGGGACAGATGTGGCTTACACCCACAGGGCACCCACCTGAATGCTGAGAGTCTCCAGTGCAGCCGGAGACTCTTTGGTGAACCTGACTTGGTGGCTTGATAGATCCTAATAACATCAGGCCCAAGACGGGCAGCTCAGATTGCATGGTAATCGCATCTCCTTGAACAGGCACTCAGTCTTTTCTATAGCCCAGTAGCAAGCCAAGTCTTCTTCTCAAAAGGAAAATAGTTATTTGACAAAGAAGGCATGTATTTTCCCCAAAACTATTATAGTTGACCCTGTGTGTTCCATGATGAGAAGTTCTATGCAAACCTACCCCCAAAGCCTGAGGAAGCCGAGGGGCCAAAGAAAGAGGCTGACACATCCAATTTCTCCGAAAGAAACATTGATTAGGCACTTAGGAACAGAAGCCATGTCTCATTGGGTCCAGATGGGGGCGGGGGGTCCCCATGTCATTATCCCCCAGACCTATGCCTTGTATACTGTAGGGAAGAAAGGCTTAGGGCAAGTGAAGTCAACTCCTCAGGGAAAGATGAGAATTCGCTTAAGGGAAGAATCTATGGGACAGGGTGAAAGTGGAAATCTCAGAGACATTCCCAAAGCTGAGGTTAATCAGAAGTCAGCATGGTGGAGGGGTATCCAAGATGGAGCAGCTTTATCCTCACATGTGATTCTTCTAACGGGGCTGGTCACAGATGCCATACAAGGTACCATACATTGCAGGTACCCTCTAATATGCCATTGACACTTTGAGAACCATTAGACCCGCTGAGTCATAAACAGCAGAACAGATTGCATTGCAGCCTGAGCCAGGTGGGGCGTCTCCTCTGCCCCCTCTCAAAATTAGCACCCGTTTGAGTTACTCCATACGAGGGTCAGAGAAGCACGCCCTCCTAATGTGACAAATGTTGCTTCCAGAAAAAGGACCTGCAGGCAT